ATGTATGTATGTATGTATGTATGTATGTATGTATGTATGTATGTATGTATGTATGTATGTATGTATGTATGTATGTATGTATGTATGTATGTATGTATGTATGTATGTATGTATGTATGTATGTATGTATGTATGTATGTATGTATGTATGTATGTATGTATGTATGTATGTATGTATGTATGTATGTATGTATGTATGTATGTATGTATGTATGTATGTATGTATGTATGTATGTATGTATGTATGTATGTATGTATGTATGTATGTGTATGTATGTATGTATGTGTGTGTGTGTGTGTGTGTGTGTGTGTGTGTGTGTATGTATGTATGTATGTATGTATGTATGTATGTATGTATGTATGTATGTATGTGTGTGTGTGTGTGTGTGTGTGTGTGTGTGTGTGTGTGTGTGTGTGTGTGTGTGTGTATGTATGTATGTATGTATGTATGTATGTATGTATGTATGTATGTATGTATGTATGTATGTATGTATGTATGTATGTATGTATGTATGTATGTATGTATGTATGTATGTATGTATGTATGTATGTATGTATGTATGTATGTATGTATGTATGTATGTATGTATGTATGTATGTATGTATGTATGTATGTATGTATGTATGTATGTATGTATGTATGTATGTATGTATGTATGTATGTATGTATGTATGTATGCATGTATTACGTGGCACAATCTTCAACCTCTGTACTTTGTCTTTTTAGAACTTCACTTATTATCGAATGAAGTTCAAGTTTAGAAAAAAGTGCAGTGGACACCGTAGGAGTACATTGTGTGTGCTTAAATACGGTATCCACTGCACTTTTTCTTTATCTTTAACTTTAGTTTCTAGTAAGCGAAGTTCTAAAAAGCTAAAGTACAGGAGAAATCTATATGGCAGCACGGACAACCTCTTGATGATGTTGACGTTACTCTGCTTAACCTACTTTTAAATAGTTCACACTATGACAATTCAGAACTGCAAACAACGAACTATTGCCAGTGAAAACAAAACACGAGCTAATGTCTGTTCAGAAACACCGACGAACATAGTCAAGGTTGGACTGATAGAAGAGTGTGTGACCAGAATCAGATATGGTTTGTTACATTTGGGTAACAGGGTTTTGACAAATAATTACAGCTACGAGAACGGGACAATTATAAACGGACATTATATAAGCGCTACAGTAAATGTTTCTGGCTGTAGATAGCTGTAATATTGCCAGTTTTAACAAAACAACCTTTTCAACCCTCACGGTTTTAAAGTGTTCATTCTTCTTCTTCTCTTCCACCTTGTACCTCAGCGAATTTTCATAGGGATAAAGGGTTCACTGAGTTCTCAAAGTATATTGTTTGCTATTCTATGTATCGTGTAGTTATTTATTAAAGACATTTATGCACTTTGGATTATTATTTCAGCGATTTATTTGTTTACTCAAAACAATGTTTTCCCGTAATGAATTTAAATAATGCGGACACAAACAATGCAATTTATTGCCAGGGATATTTCGCTGTATCTTCTCTACCAGGACCAGAACCCAGTGCCTTCGAATCTGCAGGCGAATGACTAGTCCGGACACCACGGTGACGTTTTTACTGTAATGCTGAGATGGAGGGAGAACAGTGAAGTCTTACAAAGACGATATTATTGCGTACCGCCAAAAAACGTGTAACGCACCTGACGAGATAGAGCAAAATATGCCTGGCATTAAATTGTTCAATGTATTGTTTTGTTTACACTGTTCTCAGTTCTTATTAAGATATAAATCGACGCTGTGTGAGTTCTTGGGCACCAGTGTGGTGGAAACAAGAATAGATCCACTGTACTCTAATGTTGGTCGTAAAAATTAAACAATTATAGGTGTCTCCTTCCAAGTCAGAGTGCATCTGTAAGAGAGACGAGAAACCAACAGTCTGCACAAAAATAGCCAGATCTGTAAAATGAATGCAAAATGAAAGTCCAGAAGTAGACGAACAACCAGAACTTCTCCCTAGAGTTTACAGCCGGTGAACGCGTTGAAGAAGAAAAGAATACAAACTGTAACATGAATATTTCGGTAGTGTTACTAACATTGTGACGTTAAAATAGACCGTTTATTTTGCCCTCCGAGTTGCCGTTGATCATCTTCAATGTGTTTAGTTTAGGAAGTATTATCTTCAAAGATTACACGGACATTCTCTCACCCTTCTAAAAATTGATTAAAGTTCTACTAAAAAAACAGCTTGATTTCACCAAATAGTTATATCAAGAGTTTTTAGTAGTCCGAATAGTTGTGTCCAGAAGTTCTGTGTGTCCACATTGTTTGATCCAGTAGTTCTGCCAGAGCTCCAGTGTCCAGACTGACTGAGTCCGAATAGTTGTTTCCAGAAGTTCTGTATCTCCACATTTTTTGATCCAGTAGTTCTGCCAGAGCTCTGTGTCCAGACTGTCTGAGTCCGAATAGTTGTGTCCAGAAGTTCTGTGTGTCCACATTGTTTGATCCAGTAGTTCTGCTAGAGCTCCTGTGTCCAGACTGACTGAGTCCGAATAGTTGTGTCCAGAAGTTCTGTATCTCCACATTATTTGATCCAGTAGTTCTGCCAGAGCTCCTGTGTCCAGAATGACTGAGTCCGAATAGTTGTGTCCAGAAGTTAAGTGTGTTCACATTGTTTGATCCAGTAGTTCTGCCAGAGCTCCTGTGTCCAGACTGACTGAGTCCGAATAGTTGTGTCCAGAAGCTCTGTATCTCCACATTGTTTGATCCAGTAGTTCTGCCAGAGCTCCTGTGTCCAGACTGACTGAGTCCGGATAATTGTGTCTAAAGTTTCTGCGCCCAGATAATTATTTCATCTAGTGTCAGGACTGTGAACAGGTGTCACAGTGTCTAACAATTCTTCAGCTTTTTTCTCTCAACTGTATATGTGGCCAATTAATATTCCATCTGCTCTTATGGAACTGTAGATGTGGCCAATTAATATTCCATCCGCTCTTATGGAACTGTAGATGTGGCCAATAAATATTTCATCCACTCTTATGGAACTGTAGATGTGGCCAATAAATATTTCATCCGCTCTTATGGAACTGTAGATGTGGCCAATAAATATTTCATCCGCTCTTATTGAACTGTAGATGTGGTTAATAAATATTTCTTCCGCTCTTATGGAACTGTGGTTGTGGCCAATAAATATTCCATCCGCTCTTATGGAACTGTAGATGTGGCCAATAAATATTTCATCCGCTCTTATGGAACTGTAGATGTGGCCAATAAATATTCCATCCGCTCTTATGGAACTGTAAATGTGGCCAATAAATATTCCATCCGCTCTTATGGAACTATAGATGTGGCCAATAAATATTCCATCCGCTTTTATGGAACTGTAGATGTGGCCAATAAATATTTCATCCGCTCTTATGGAACTGTTGATGTGGCCAATAAATATTCCATCCGCTCTTATGGAACTGTAGATGTGGCCAATAAATATTTCATCCGCTCTTATGGAACTGTAGATGTGGCCAATAAATATTCCATCCGCTCTTATGGAACTGTAGATGTGGCCAATAAATATTCCATCCGCTCTTATGAAACTGTAGATGTGGCCAATAAATATTCCATACGCTCATGGAACTGTAGATGAGGCCAATAAATATTCTATCCGCTTTTATGGAACTGTAGATGTGGCTAATAAATATTTCATCCGCTCTTATGGAACTGTAGATGTGGCCAATAAATATTCCATCCGCTCTTATGGAACTGTAGATGTGGCTAATAAATATTCCATCCGCTCTTATGGAACTGTAGATGTGGCCAATAAATATTCCATCCGCTCTTATGGAACTGTAGATGTGGCCAATAAATATTTCATCCGCTCTTATGGAACTGTAGATGTGGCCAATAAATATTCCATCCGCTCTTATGGAACTGTAGATGTGGCCAATAAATATTTCATCCGCTCTTATGGAACTGTAGATGTGGCCAATAAATATTCCATCCGCTCTTATGGAACTGTAGATGTGGCCAATAAATATTCCATCCGCTCTTATGGAACTGTAGATGTGGCCAATAAATATTCCATCCGCTCTTATGGAACTGTAGATGTGGGCAATAAATATTACATCCGCTCTTATGGAACTGTAGATGTGGCCAATAAATATTCCATCCGCTCTTATGGAACTGTAGATGTGGCCAATAAATATTCCATCCGCTCTTATGGAACTGTAGATGTGGCCAATAAATATTCCATCCGCTCTTATGGAACTGTAGATGTGGCCAATAAATATTCCATCCGCTTTTATGGAACTGTAGATGTGGCCAATAAATATTTCATCCGCTCTTATGGAAATATAGATGTGGCCAATAAATATTCCATCCGCTCTTATGGAACTGTAGATGTGACCAATAAATATTTCATCCGCTCTTATGGAAATATAGATGTGGCCAATAAATAGTCCATCCGCTCTTATGGAACTGTAGATGTGGCAGCCTCTTCTTCAGTTTAAAAGTATATCGTCTATTATTAAACAACAGGTGTGACAATTACCGAAATAATGTATCTTTTGTTAGCAACCTGTAAATCTGACAGTTACATAATTTCTAATTAGTATGTGAACTTTGATTAAAATTTTCATTTATTTTATGTTCGTAAATATGTAGATGTACTTATTAAATAATTTATCTTCCATGAGTAACACGTAGATTTCAGTTACATTTTTTCGCTTCTGTTAGTAAAATGCAGATGTGACAGATGAATAATTTATCTTCTGTTAGTAAAATATATATTTGTCAATTTTTTTTTTTTGGGGGGGGGGGGGGGGGGGCGACAGCTACATAATTTCTTTTATGTTGTTAGACTACAGATATGACAGTTAAGTAACTTCTCCCCCTATACAGTAAAGTCTTGATTGGACAAATATACATGGACAAAACTCACAGAAACATGTAATAGAGTTTATTCATGCAGTGTTTTTTTCCCCCATAGATTACGAGATATTTGTAAGAATTTCTCCAACATCGAACCGCTATGGGAGCAAATATAGCAATACCTGAACGTAAGAACTTGGACACTATTCCCAAACTCGTCAAACATTGGTCCGTGTCACTGCCAGACCAAGAACTGTTTGTTTTTTACAATGGCGACCGGCGAGAATCGTACACGTGCAGGCAAGTGTTCCAGCTAGCAGGCAAGTTCTCCAGCCGCTTGAGGCACCAGTACGGCTTTAAGAAAGGGGACATCATTGCCAACACGCTGCCCAATTCTCCAGAGAGAGTCTTCACCGACCTGGGCATCATCCTGGCAGGATGTGTTACCCTGAATGCTGCGGTAGGTCACAAAGTGATGTCTAAAATATGAGTGACTGTGGAGCTAATATCAAGAAGTAACCTAGCATATAGGGACTTCACTTGGTGTAGCAGCCTGAGGTTAGCCTGCGGACTAGAAGGTCGTGAGTTAGGGTCCTGGCTAGGCTGGACTTCATTTTAAAACATGACTGTGGTTTCCAGGTCTACCCAGCCTTGACTGGGTCCCAGGTGCAGTCCTGGAAAATAAAGGTGGTCTGCGTGAGGCCGACCACATCACCCACTAAGTACTGATTGGTCTATACAAATTAGATGTAGCCCTATTTGCCCAGTACGCGTCGAAAATGGTCCTTTTAAACCAAACATAGAACAATAAGTTGTACTGTTTTAAAATTTTAGCCACCCAATACCGCCGGTTACGTTGTGTAGCTATGAGGGACACAAGTATTGTTTTATACTGCGGAAGAGGGCTCGAAGATTTGTTTTTGTTGGATTGGCATACGTGAAGTAGCTTTTTGGAGTCACTCAATGTGAAACTTTCAGACTGCGGCCTCTAGTCTGTGTTGGGTTAAGTTACTTCAGTATGTAACGGTTGACTGTTTTTGTCTGTGTTCGTTTAATGTCTAAATGCTATAATATTGCTCCCAATATATTTAACTAATATTTATTCAATCAGCTTGTCGTGGGATCAGTCAACAGAAGCATCTTGATTTAGTTGCTGCCGTCGAGGACTGAGTGAAAATAGACATTTCCGATTTTGATAACTTACAATTATTGACGTTCTTCAACGTAGCCCCTCTAAAATGGTCCGGGAACTCACCGTAAGGTGCCTATTGAAGTAGAAAAATGACCCTTTTCCACGTCTTCAAGTGTATTGTGCAAATAGAGCTAAAGGTATATATAAACCAGTCGACACTGGGTGTGTGATGGGGCCAACATGAAACCGTTCGCTTTACTTCCCGGGACTTTGTTCATTTTTAAGGCTGGGTCGACCTGGGCGCCATGGCCATTTGGAAAAAAAATGTTTTTTCTCAACCAGGACCAGAACCCAGCGCCTTCGAATCCGCAGGCGAATGTCTAGCTAGTACACCACAGTGAAGTTTTTACTGTAATGCTGAGATGGAGGGGGAGCAATGAAGTCTTACAAAGACGGTACCATTGTGTACCGCCAAAAAAATACACACACAAAAACACATACTTGAGTTTACTCCATTTGTATAGTTATATTCAACATCGTGACAACCCAGTGGCTAGCAACTTTACTTTTTGTCCAGCGATCAAGAGTTTGAATCCTTACTGAATAAAAATATTTCCAAGTCGACAAGGCTACGAGGAAATATACACAGGAATAGTGATGGCTGCAGATAAATTGATAATTTTTCCCCACTAAACGCCGGCTAGTCTATTATAATTTGGGGTATGGTGGCTTTTATCATATATTCAATAATTCTCAAAGTGTACATTGTTTAGAAAAATGTATGTTATTGTTGGAATACTTCAACATCACTTCAGTATGCATATGCTTTTTGTTTGTGTATGTTTTTGTAGTAGTAGTAGAAGCAGCAGCAGAATCAGTAGAGTAGTAGTAGTAGTAGTAGTAGTAGTAGTAGTAGTGGTAGTAGTAGTAGTAGTAGTAGTAGTAGTAGTAGTAGTAGTAGTAGTAGTAGTAGTAGTAGTAGTAGTAGTAGTAGTAGTAGTAGTGGTGGTAGGTAGTAGTAGTAGTAGTAGTAGTAGTAGTAGTAGTAGTAGTAGTAGTAGTAGTAGTAGTAGTAGTAGTAGTAGTAATAGTAGTAGTAGTAGTAGTGGTAGTGGTAGTGGTAGTAGTAGTAGTAGTAGTAGTAGTAGTAGTAGTAGTAGTAGTAGTAGTAGTAGTAAGTAGTAGTTTAGTAGTAGTAGTAGTAGTAGTAGTAGTAGTATAGTAGTAGTAGTAGTAGTAGTAGTAGTAGTAGTAGTAGTAGTAGTAGTAGTAGTAGTAGTAGTAGTAGTAGTAGTAGTAGTAGTAGTAGTAGTAGTCGAGCTTTCCCACTTCACTGCAATAGGGTCACCCCGTTTTCAATCCAAATATGTGCCAGTGGAATTCTCATGAAATGCCATTCAAGATGACACCATTTGAAAACTAGTAAACAAACAATCAGTTCCGGAAAAATTCGGAAACATGCACATACGGTGAATGTATAAGGTTGCTGCTAGAGATACCAGTCCCCACCAGAATTGCAATTTGTTGATGATGGAAGAAGGCAATCGTTTATTGTAGAATGGCCGGCCATACACACTCATCATTATGACATGATTTAACTTTTTCAACAGCCCAGACTCAAACCTACTACCAGTCGTTTTATAAATATCACGACACAACCGCTGTGGGCACAAACGAAAATAATTCAATAAGAAATATACAGTCCATAGTGCTGCACCAAGCACTTAACTCAATAACTCAAGTAGCAATAACCGTAGACTCGGTCCATGTGTTTGTGATTGTGTGTGTGTAAAAAAAAGGGGGGGGGGGGGGGGGTGTGCACGAGCAAACATTCCTTGAAGCATACCCACGGAAGCAGCAACGGTAAACCAACGACCCAGCCTTTTCGCCATACAGGACCCAAACCTAATATGTGTTAACATGATGCCAATGTGTTTAAATTGTTTTTATGCTTCAGTATTTCTTCAGAATGTATGAAATCTCCAAATATTCTACAATCTGTAATCCTGGTAATGATTTTGTAGACGATGTTTGCGGACGGGTCAGATTTCTTGACCTCTGCAAACAACAGTGGTCTCCTGGCAGCCATTGTATGTCCAGAAGGAAACGGGCCAGCATGGAGAATTCTGAAAAATTACATCCGCGGAGACGCCACGTCATCCACAGCTGTGTTTGCATGTGACAAGGCTCCTTTAATGGAAACAGCCATCCTGGTGTCCAGACAACCTACAGGGTAATCCGTGTGCAAACCGTACATGTGTGTATCTAATGTTAGCAATCTATAGGGTAATCCTTTTGCAGTTGTATATGTAGGTAGTTAATGTTGATAACCTACAGTGTAATCCTTGTGGACACACTAATGTATCTATCTAATGTTTGCAGCTTACAGGATAATTCTTCTTGAATTTTGAAATAAGAATCGACATCACAGCACTCGGGACACTCCCATAAGTGCTCCGTCCTTATCTTCAGCAGCAAGCGAAGAGTTCCAATTCGGGTGGCACCAGTAGCCGTCTGATTGTATGTCTGTCTCCTCCTTCGCTTGAGTGTTGAGCGTCGGCCACACCCCCTGGTAACTCCTCGCAGCGCCATTCTCCTCAGTCCGTAATGATGTATCTGCGCATCCGCATTGTTCGCACGTCCCCAAAGGGCAAGGTAATCCTTGTGTAATAACAAATGTTTGCAGCTAATGCTGGCAACATACAGGGTACTTATCGTTTAATCACAAATGTGTGGACCTAATTTTAGCAACCTACAGCTTTGTTTGATCAGAAATGCACGATTCTAATGTCAGCATGCTGTAATGCAATCCTCGTGTAATCATACACGCAGGTCCAGAGGGCACTTCCTTCATGAGTTACAGGACAGCACAGAGCCGATCTTTGTGGAGCAGGGCGTCCAGCCGGACGACATCCTGATAGTCCTAACAACTTCCGGCAGCACTGGCTACTGTAAACTTGTAGCAAAAACTCACAGAGATCTCATCGACCAGTGGCTGGACGCGTGTAATTATGTCACGGAACACTCCCGCCAACAGTGGACCACTAATGTCATCTACAACGACAGACTAATTGGTAGTGTGCTGTTTATTTCATTTGATTTGATTGAAATGTTCTTCCTCTTGTGGGTTCAGGGCCTACTAGGATTAAAAGGAGGGAGTTCAGCAATGGATGATCCATGTATTTAAATTGGGGGTGCAGAGGCAACTGAGTGGATGGTAGCTTTGTCCGTTAGATTTGAGGGGTGGTGTACTAGGAAAACGCCCCTGGTGCAGATAGGGATAGTGACCAAACATAGGGCAGCGGTGGAGACAAAGTTGAAGTAGAAGACGGTAGAAAATATGTTTCTTTAACTATCCAGGGCAAAGTCGGGCAATTTAATTTGGCAGACGTTTTATTTAGCAAATGTTTCATAGTTAATTAACATTCAATACGCATTATACATTTTGATGTGCATTAACCACTGCAATTTAAAAAAAAAAACGAAATCGTTTCACATTTAATTTTCAAGAGACAGTTGATTTGCTTTCAGATATTTGAGACTGCATTCTATCAAGGAGTTTATTATGCTGCAAATCATACCAGGAAATTAATAATCATCAGTTGTTAGGTTCCTCTTCTTTATTTTTTTTTTTTTTTTTTTTTGGTGCAGTTTCACATAGACATGTAGATCTGGGAAACGCTGTCATATAAAATACCTCCTTTCGACTATTTGAATAAGATTCTTCTGTCAATTATTTTCAGAATTCAAGAACGCTGCTATCATTGGCTCTCTCTCTCTCTCTCTCTCTCTCTCTCTCTCTCTCTCTCTCTCTCTCTCTCTCTCTCACACACACACACACACACACACACACACACACTCATCATCATCAACATCATCATCAACATCACCACCCTCAGCCATCTAGTCCTTTGCCGAAAGCCGCTTTTAGTCACAGCACGTCTGAAAGTCTGTCACTCTCTAGCCAGTTCGTCAACCCTGTGTGCTTTTAAAGCCGCTATGCATCTTCAGTGTCTTGTATCCACATTCGCAGACGTCTGTTGTATACTCCATCACACACTGTCTTTAGGCCACGTGCGTGCGCGCGCGATCGCAGAAACACACACATGGGAGCCTTCCTTAGCGCAGTCGATAAGAAACTCGCTTTCAAATCCAGCTGCGACTCGCTGCAGCCCACGGTCGGTGTTCAAAACTGGGTGGTTCCAAGGGTTCACCCAGCCTCTAGAAAATGGGTACCATAGTTGACACTCTAGTGTAAATGGAGGAGCGTCGCTGTAGCTACAGAGTTACGTGCGGACGGCGACACCGGCGGACAATTCTTATCAGCTGTCCGTACTGGTGGCAGAGCACTTATGGTTTATAACCGTGTGAAATGACGCTGGTTCACATCTCCATATTTTACCTTTACGTTTACACACACATATTTATTTAATTCCGTTGCCAGGTTGGTTGGGAGGCTTTCCTTTTGGCACCTATATCAATGCGGATACTCGAGTGTTGCTGGACGTGTTCGATACTCAAGGATTGAAGGTTGGTGCCGATTTATGGAAAATCATCTGTGCGGAAAAAGTCGATTACGCCATTATCTTGCCGCTGGACCTCGACTACCTGATGAATCACACCAGCTTTGCGGTCGCGGCCGATTATAAAATGAAAATGATTTGCTGCGGCGGTCAGCCGATTAGAAAGGTAAGAGAAATACAAACGTGTGCACTTTTGTGTTTCTGTGTATCAGTTATCTATCTATAGCCAAATGTACTTACTGTTGCTTATGTGTATCAGTTATCTATAACTAAACATACTATCTTGTTGCGTAAATAAAGCATCTATCAATAGAATGTCGTGGGTTTGCTCCCTGGTGGAGCTGGACTTTTTTCAAAAATGACTTCGGCTCCCAGGTCGACCTAGCTTTGAGTGGGTACCGTGTGCAGCCCCGGGAAGTAGAGGCGGCCGGCGTGATGCTCATCACACATCACCCATCTTGTGGCAATTGGTCTATAACATATAGTTCTAGCCCTATCTGCCCTATACCGCATAAGGCGGAGAAAGGAGTCCTTTACTTACTTTACTTACACACATGTATACATTATAGTCAAGATTTACGGCTGTTCTCCAGCAATAAACAGATAGAAAGTCATTTTCAACGTTAAAACAGATTTAGAACTATCTGCAAACAACCCAAAATCAAGAACCACAAGTCAATCTTGGAGTGCTCTCCGTAAAATCATAAATCACAGCCAGTTTATCAGAATGTTATCAATTATTTCGCAAATGCAAACGTTAGAAAAAAAAAATTATTTCTCCAAGTTCGCAACGGGTATAGAGCGAGTGGAAGACCTCGGAAAATATGGAGTGATGGCATTAAGAACAACCTTACAGAAATAAACATTAGTCTTAATAGTGCTCTTGAAAGAGCTCATCAACGAACATTACATCTCCCCCGACACTTCGATGAGGTAAAAGGTGGAAGAGAAGAAGAGGAAGAAGAAGAATGCCAGAAATACAATAATACAGAAATCGTCTTGCGCTGGTTTCGAAAGCGGTATCGAGCAGTTGCGTAAACTGGGCGATACTTTTTTTTCTGAAGGAAAGTCTAGAGGGCAATGAAGAAGAAGCAGATAAACATTATGTGAGATGTATAATTGTTTTCGGGGCGGGGGAGGTTGTAATTGTTTAGCGAAATGTAATAAATCTTATGCTGGATCCGTACGTCTTATGTTAGATGTATAAATGTTGTATGAGATGTATAAATATTATGAGTTAAATGAATGTTATATATGAAGTATAAATGTTATGCGAGATGCACACCTGTTATCTAACATCTATAGATGTTATGTGGGATGAATAATTATTGTGTGTGATGTATAATTGTTGTGTAGGATGTTGAATTGTTTAGTGAGATGTTGATTTGTTACGTGAAATGTTAATGCTGGTTCATGACATCTGATAATTATTGTTATGTTACCATCACAGCTACAGTTTCCCAAAATTAGTATCTGCTGTTACTGTCACGGCTTCGGTTACGTTATGTTACAGGTGTATTTGTCATTTCGCAGTGAATAATCGTGCATGTGTTTCCTCCGTTGCCAGGACCAGTTTCTCAGTTACTATGCTGTAGCCCGAGAAGTCAGTGTGGTGTATGCAACAACCGAGGCGGGGCTTCTCTCATATGACATTCTTCAAGGTATTATTCAGATTCTTATATATATTCCTCCTCTTTATCCCCTCTCTCTTTCTCTCTCCCTTGTCTCTCTCTCCGTCGCTTCTCTCTCCGTCGTCTCTCTCTCTCCTCGTCGTCGTCGTCTCTCTCTCTCTCTCTCTCTCTCTCTCTCTCTCTCTCTCTCTCTCTCTCTCTCTCTCTCTCTCTCATGTGGCATTGTTAAAGGTATTTAACATTCTTTAATGTATTTTTTTTCTTTCTCTCTCTCTCTCTCTCTCTCTCCCTCTCCACCCCCTCCTCTCTCTCTCTCCCCTCAATCTCCCTCTCACTTTCTCTCACTCTCTCTCACTCTCTCTCCAATAAGGTTTACTGAAGGTATTTTGTAATGCTTTCATCCATTGTTTTTCCATCTCAGTCTTTCTCTCTCTCTCTCTCTCTCTCTCTCTCTCTCTCTCTCTCTCTCTCTCTCTCATATTGAATTTTGAAAGATATTTAAAAATATTTTAATTTAAAATTAACCCCCCCCCCTCTCTCTCAAACTCATTCTTTTTCTCCTCTCTCTCTCTCTTTCTCTCTCTTTCTCTCTCTCTTTCTCTCTCTCTCTCTCTGTCTCTCTCTCCTTCTCTCTTTCTCTCTCTCTCTCTATGCCCTCTGCATCTGTATTCCTTTCCACTCTATCTCTTACTCTCTCCCCCTATTTCCATCTCTCCCCTTCTTTCTTCGCTTTCTGTGTCTCTCCCTGTTTGTCTCTTTCTCCCCCATGTTATTATCCTAATGTCACCAGATAACCATCTGGATCCTGTATTCTTTTCCTTACAAAAAAATGGACACTATCATCATGCATCTGCACTGTCATGATTGTCAAAGTGTCGGGGATCTCGTCCATTGTTGCAGAGAACAAGGTGAAGGACTACTTCTGTGGACAGGTGGCGCCAGGAGTCGAAGTGAGAATCGTGGATGCCGACAACAAAGAGTGTCAAACAGGACAAGTAGGGACTATACATGTCAAAGGTAAACTCGCCCTGATGACACATCGTGTTAACAGTGGCTAAAACTGTCTTATGTGGTAATAACGATTTTTTTCTAAATAAAAGTTAAACTGGCGTTCCTGAGAGAAAACTGACTTCACTGCACCGGGTTCGATCCCACATGACTCGATCTCTCTGGGTATTCAAACAAAGCACGAACTCCGTATCTTCAATGAAGATCCCAATGGATCTCCGTAAAAACTGCTCTCGTGGACTGAAGGCGCTTTGTTAAAACGAACTCCCGACCTTCAAAACTCAAAGCAAACATCTGAACCATTCGCCTCAGAGGGCATGTTTTTATTTAAATAATATCCCATTCCAACGTTAAATAAATCTTTTATTAAAAAAGAAAAGTAATACAGAGTAATGGTATTCAATGTAGGATAGATATCTGACGGGTAGACTTTTATATAAGTTGTTCAGGGCTCTTAAAAAAATAGTCAGATAACAGACGAACTTAGAATCCTGTGCAATGGAAACTTGCCGAGACTGCAGTTTGTATGGGCTTGAATTACTAATAATATACTGAAGAAATTAGAATTTTGAGAGCATGCATCTTCCCTGTGGCTACATACGGATGTGAGTCGTGGACTATCTCTCAGTCCTGAAGAAAGAGAATAGGAGCTTTTGAGCTGAAATGCTATAGAAAGATTCTCAGAATATCTTGGACAAAGAAGATGAGAAATATTGACATCTTAAAAGATCTGAACATCAAGGAAGATTGGCTAATAAACAGCATCCTTTCTCGAAAGTTGAAATATTTTGGTCATATCAAACGCCTCGACGGATTGGAAAAAATTATAGCAGAAGGCATGGTACCAGGAAGGAGGGGCAGGGGCCGACAGACACGAAGATGGGCACAGGATATAAGTGACTCCTTGAGTGTGAAAGCACATGAGGCGGGAGAACTGGCGAGAGACCGAGTTTCTTTCAGGCAGATTGTGATGAGAGCGACGTTCTGCAAAGGACCTGCTACATGATGATGATACTGAAGAAACCGGTAAATAATGCTACAAATACAATAACACAGAAATCGTACTGCGCTGGTTTCGACAGCGGTATCGAGCAGTGGCGTAAATAGGGTGAACGCATTCCCTGGGCGATACTTTTTACCCTGATACATTAGGAACTGAAATTGTAGTTTTCTTCAAAGTATTTTCATAACAATGAGAGGCTTTTCCTACCAATAAACAACCGTTCAATCAAGGTCTTCTCTAGACACGGCCTTAGTTTACTAAACAAAACTTGCCTCACAAGAAAACTGATAAGTGTCATAGTGATGAAGTGTCTCGGTCATGGTTGGTTTATTCCATTTCTTAAAAGTCAAAAAGAGTTTTTTTTTTTTTTTTTCTCTTGTCTTCTTCATTCTGAATCAGAACTGCAATCCTTTCTGGAGCAAGAAAATAGACTCAATCTATGGAAAGCACCTGAAAGCGTTCATGAAAAGGCAACAACAAAACAAAACAAAACACTGAATGTTCACTCAGTAGAAAGAAAGTGAGAGAAAGTTAGTTTTAAATAAATTTATTGACATGGAACTTCAATTACAGATTAAAAAGTAAAAGCAGAAATGGCTTGATATCTTAACAAGAATCCTCCGCAGCATTATATTCCTTAGTTAGTTAGTTATTCCTCTTGTGCCAAAGATGGCGCATAGGGCAGAGGTCATAGCTTTCCACGTCTGTCGGTTCTTTGCCACTTGATGTAGGTCTTGAGTGCGACTGAGACCTATGGTTGAGCTCTCCCTTGTGATGGTTCTACGGAGAGTTTCTTTTGGTCTTCCCTGTTTTCTTTTACCCTCTGGTGACCATATGAAGGCTTGGTGGGGAAGTCTCTGTATGTCCATTCTGAGTACGTGACCGATGTAATTCCAGCGACGCATTCTAATAAAATCAGACACATATTTTTGTTTTGTTTCCTGTCTTATAGATGTATTGGACCTAAAGTCCGACCAGTGAACATTCAATAGCTTTCGGAGGCATCTATTCTCGAAAGCGACTAGTTTCTTATCGATTGATACTGATGATTTCCAACTCTCACAACCATAAGTTAGCACTGGGATCACACAGGAATTGAAGACCTTAAGTTTCGTGTTGTTGCTGAGTGATCTTGACTTCCAGATGTTTGACAGTTTGTTAAAGGCACTTGATGCTAACGCGATTCGAGTCGTTATTTCTGATGTTGTATCTCCCGCAGAGGTTATCTTGCTCCCTAAGTATGTGAAGCTGGTGATTTTTTCAAGAACAATATCCTTTAGTTTGATGTCTTTCGACTCGTTGGTAAGATCGATGATTTTCGTTTTGGCTGCGTTGACCTGAAGGCCGATTTGGCTTGAAATATTCTGGAGGCGGTCCATTTTTTCCTGAGCTTCTAGATGTGTTGTGCTCAGGAGTGCTAGGTCGTCAGCAAAGTCAAGATCTTCGAGAACTTTGTCGACCCATTTGATGCCTAGATGTGTGTCCTGTGTGCATTTGCGCATGACCCAATCGAGTGCTATTCCGAAAAGCATTGGTGACAAGACACATCCTTGTTTCACGCCTGTTTCTACTGGGAACCAATCAGAGTTACCAGATTCCGTTCTAACAAGGCAGCGGGAATCGGTGTAGAAGGCCTTTATAATATTGACATATTTATCTTGGAAACCATAGATTGTGAGTAGCTTCCAGAGTGTAGGGCGGTGTATGCTGTCAAAGGCCTTCTGAAAATCAACAAAGTTGATGATGAGTTGGGATTGAAACTCTACTGTCTCTTCTACGATGGTTCTGAGTGTGAATATATGGTCGATGCATGACCGATTCGGTCTGAATCCTGCTTGTTCTTCTCGGAGTCTTGCATCTATTGGCTTTTTCAGTCTCTGCATTAGCATGCTGCAGAACAGTTTTCCTGGTACGGAGAGTAGGGTGATACCACGCCAGTTGTTGCAGTCTGCTAAATCACCTTTTTTGGGCAGTTTGAATATAACACCTTCTTTCCACTGTTGCGGTGGGGATTCATTTAGCCAAACATCATTGAACAGCTGTAGCAAATATTGTAAGGTGTTTTCGTCTGCTGCCTTTAACATTTCAGCTGAGATTTCATCTGCGCCAGTAGCCTTGTTCTTCTTTAGTTTTTTTATTGCTGATTTAAGTTCTAACATTGTGAATGGTTCACAGGTAGCATCTAGAGGTGGCATAGCTTCTTCTTCGTCTATATTGGGAACAGTGTCGGGTTGTGGCCTATTTAATATTTCTCTGAAATGTTCTGCCCATCGTTGCTTTTGTTGTTCTTCAGATAATAATAATTTACCCCTGTTTGTCTTTGATGGGTGCGTTTGCTGTAGGTGTATGGTTGCACAGCTGTTTCATGATGTGGAATACAGCTTTATTGTTCCCAGTTCTGGCAGCCGTTTCAGCATCGCAAGCTAAGTTGTGTATGAAATCTTGTTTATCTTTCCGTGCACTATGTTTCACTTCTTTATCTAACAAGGTGTACCTTTGTTTGACTTTTTCATATACAGATGTGTCTTTTGTAGATAAAAGGGATAATTTGGCCTGTTTTCTTTCCTGAATTTTTATCCAAGTGTTTTCACTCAGCCATTGTTTCTTCTTTCTTTGCATGTAACCAACTGTGTTGACTGCGGCTTCCTTGAAGGTGTCTCTAAAGAAGCTCCATTTTTGTTCTATGCTGTATTCAACATTATTTTTGTTAGTTAAGGTTTGTACGTAGTTGTTTTGTATCCCAGAGTTAAATGTGATTTGATGTTGGTTTGACAACAGAGACTGTGAATCTATTTTCTTGCTTGTAAATGTTTTATGTAGTTTCTTGAGCTTCATCTTTAGTTTGGCTATGCAGAGGTTGTGATCGCTGCCAACGTCTGCTCCTCGATATGCTCTGACATCCCGAACTGACGAGCGGAATTTGGTACTTATGCAAAAGTGGTCTATCTGATTTTTAGTGTGATTGTCAGGGGAAATCCAGGTGGATTTATGAATATCTTTATGTGGGAAGGTGGTATTTGCTATTAACAGATTAGCAATTTCACATAACTCGAGTAGTCTTTCGCCATTCTGGTTCATGCTCCCTATACCATGCGCTCCCATGTATCTTTCAACACCGCTGTTATCATCTCCAACCTTGGCGTTGAAATCGCCCATCACAACAGTGATGTCGTGTTTAGGTGTTTTGTTGATGGTGTCAATTAATACGTTATAGAAGGTGTCTTTGTTGAAGTCAGTATCATCATTTGTAGGTGCATAGCATTGTATGACGGATAGTTTGAAATACCTGGATTGGAAGCGTGCTGCTATAATTCTTTCATTGACCGGTTCCCAGCTGACGAGTGATCTTTCTGTTCTAGGTGACATAATAATCGCGACACCGCCTGAATGTTGGTTATCAGTTCTCCCCGAATAAACTATGTGTTTTTGTTCATTAGTAAGGAACGTTTTACCCGAGTTGGTCCATCTACATTCGCTAACACCGAGGATATCCAGATTGAAATCATTCATAACACTACACACTTGTGCTGTTTTCCCTGTCTGGTATTATATTATTATATTCCTTGCAAATCTATTAATTCTCGTCCTTTTTAGAACGAAATTTTTCGTTATTTGAAGCCCTACTCTGGCTCTTGCCAGGGGCCGCAATATAGCCTGACCATAAATATGGCCTAAAGGCTGAACGCGGTTTCTGGGACCTCTCCACGGTGATCCTCACCCGCATGGTGGCACATTGTGTCATTGGGTGTTTATCGCTTGTGTGGTGTCCTGGTGGGGTAGAAAGTCAGTCAGTCAGTCATTCCTTGCAACTCAAAATCTAGCTTTGCATGGACATAGAGAATCACATTAGCAAGATGGCCGTGTTTCCAATGTAGTTGATTTTCTTGTTTATTTCCCACTGAAACTACTAGCTATTATTTACCCTCTCATGAAAGAACATGCATCTCCCCCCTTTTTTGCAGAATGAGTTAATCCACATGATGGCATCCATTATATGCCAGAATTCACTCAGAAGCATTCTTTGAGCCAAGTGATGTTTGACTCGACTCGTGATCAAGCACATCGTCAGCGGATGTCAGAGATAGTGAGGTTCGTGGAAGCTGATTCTGCGAGCAAAGAGGTCTTGGTTAAAGAATCCTCCCGTATGTTTATCCAGATAAGCCAGCAGGATGCTAAGAGCTTAGTTCAAGACGTCTTGAACCAGCTAGAGAAAGAAGAAATAGAACTAGAAGATTGTTGATCAGTTCTATAACAGCGCTGCTATGCTGGCCTGACATAAGTGGTGTCCACCACAGAATAAGTGAGGGAAACAAGTTGGCTGTGTGCATCACTTGTGACAATCACACGCTACATTTGATAGGTGTACATACACGAGCCTATAATGGTGACGTTTTGTTTTTAACCATGCAAGTCCTCTAGATGTTGTCCAAGGACAGATGCAGTAAAGTCTGTAACAAAAAATACTGCATATCCTCCAGGTTATGACAGACATTGCACTTGAGATCAATGCAGCAAAAAAGTGAGGCAAGGCAGCTGTATTATCGTCTGCTAAGGTTTCATTTTCTGACATTGCTAGGATTTTGTGGCAAGATACTCGTTTGCATTGACCGTGTTCAAAAGAGGTTACAGACTTCTAGCAGTCCTCCAACCTCTGTAAATACACTCCATAGGCACTTAACCTCCTTAGGCTGTTTTCGTCGCTCTCTTCTTCAACAGTGATGACACATAATGTCTCTATTTAATGAACTGACGCCACTAAGTATGACGTGACACCAACTGTTAAAACCTAATGTGTCTCCAAGAACAAGCTATAACGCCAGCACTGACTATTGTATCCAGGCAGGGCGGTGTTCAGGGGATACGTGAACCGTGTAGAGAACCCGGACCCCAAGACTCTGTTGGCCTTCACCAAGGATGGCTGGCTGAACACGGATGACAGCGGTTACTTTGATGAAGCCAGAAACTTGTATGTCCTGGGCAGGTTGAAAGACGTCATTACCTTCGGAGCCGCGTTCGTGTACCCGGGTTGGCTGGAGCCTAAGATTACCCAGCACCCAGCGATCAGCGAGGCCTGCATCGTTCCTGTGAGTTTTGCTATAGTCTCATAACTACCAACATCGTTTCTCTATCTTCGTGTGGGTTCTGGGGCCCCATTGTTGGTGTAAAGGAATAGACCCACAGCCCTTCCTTCTCCCTCCGACCCCAAGAAGCATGTCACAAAAGTCGTCTGTGTTTCTTTTGAAGTCAGAGTGCATCTGCCAGAGGGATAAAGAACCAAAAGTCTGCATACAAATAAACCAGATCTGTGAAGCAGATTTACACGCAAAGCTGAAGTTTTGGAATAAGAACGCGAGTAAGTTCTGTGGTAAGATCTAAGCCCAGAAGCGGAATAATAGCCATCATTTTCAGCCGTAGTTTGCAGCTGGTCAACGCGAACCATATTCGTCACCTTATACCTTAAAATGTCTGCTAAATGTCTTTCGTATATTTGTGAGAACGCTGCTGAAGTGATCGTCCGAATAGAATGGCATAACTGTAATGTTGATTAACAAATTAGCTTATGCACAGGTGACTTTTAGTTGGGTACAAAGTGCAAGATCTGTCCACGTCAGTCAGCTAGGACTGTCTATTAATATTTTAATTTATTATGATCATTTTGGTTGTTTTGTTGTTAATTAGTAAACCGTCAGCACCTGTGGCTTAAGAGTTAGGTTCAACTGGAACTGCTTTGGCTGACTGACTGAATAACTTTCTACCCCACCAGGACATCACACAAGCGATAAACACCCAATGACACAAAGTGCCACCATGCGGATGAGGATCGCCGTGGAGAGGTCCCAGAAACCGCGTTCAGACATTTGGCCATATTTATGGCCTGCCTATATTGCGGCCCCCGGCAAAAGCCAGGGTGGAGCTTTAAATAAAAAATTTCATCCCGAAACGGACGATAGAGACAATAGCTACTGCTTTGGCTGCAGACCGTTTGACGTTGATTTCAACGATCTGTGAGTAATGATGGTTGAGTAAGAACGGCAAATTACAAAATGTAAAAATAATAATCAAACTACAAACAACCAATTAATGCTGTTATTTGTGACGTCCTGTTAACAATTGTAATTTGTTAACGTCAGTTCCAACACTCGGGAAAATACACCTGGCCATCTAATCGTGTAACAATGTTGCAGGTGTCTGATCCCGTTCTGTATCATAACATCTGCGCCATCGTGAAGCCGGTTGACGGCAGCGACCTCAGCTTGCAGGAGCTAGAGACGATTTGTCGAGACATCTTCTTGACGGACAAGGACATGGAGGGCACACCTGTACCCAAGTTTTATCTGGTAACTATGGAGTCAGGGTAAAGTGGGTTGTGTAGTCTACTAACTACAGAGACAGGGTTATATAACATATTTTAGGCATGTAAGTTTTTAAGCGCCCCCTCCCCCTTTCCTGCCAATGAGAAAACATTGAGGATGAGGTTTAGCCCTACCCCAACTACGTGTTCATCGCCCAGGTGAAAACATTAGCGGAACCCCAAACCACGTACTTTTTGTGTGGTATGTGCGCGCGTGCGTGAGTGTGTGTGTGAGTGACCGTTTAGAACAGCGCGTTAGACATATAGTGTTACAAAAACTTAAAGACAAATCTTTTCTTCTTTATCCACGTCCCCTTTCTGATCACCACCACCTCTTCCCCCACAGTACAACGAACAGTTTATAGTGTCCTGTTCCCGCGAATGTACCTCAATATCTGTATCAGCCATGTTTCGCTTGTACATATCTTCATATCTCAGTAGAGGTAGAATTCTATCCATAAATGTTCTTATATACTGACTGACTTTCTACCCCACCAGGACATCACACAATCGATAAACACCCGATGACACAAAGTGCCACCATGCGGATGAGGATCGCCGTGGAGAGGTCCCAGAAACCGCGTTCAGGCATTTGGCCATATGTATGGCCTGCCTATATTGCGGCCCCTGGCAAAAGCCAGATAGGGCTTCAAATTACAAAAAATTTCATCCTTAATATGGACAAAACTGGATCCATTGTATTAATTAATTATTTCCCATGTTTAAATCGGCAGATTGCAGCCATTAATTACTTCTCATGTTTAGTTTGACTGACTGCGTCAATCAATTATCTCCCATGTTTAGTATGACAGACTGCATGAATTAATTACCTACTATATTAGGTTTGATAAATAGCATAAATTACCTTCCATGTTTAGTTTGACAGACAGCATAAACTACCTCTCAAGTTTAGTTTGACAGACAGCATAAATTACCTCCCATTTTTAGCTTGACAGACAGCATACATTACCTCCCTTGTTAATTTTGATGGACTGCATCAAATCATTAACTCCCATGTTTAGTTTGACAGACAGCATAAATTACCTTTCTTGTTTAGATTGAAAGACTGCTTCAGTTAAATACCTCCCATGTTTAGTTTGACAGACAACATAAATTAATTACCTCCCATGTTTAGTTTGACAGACAGCATCAATTACCTTCCGTGTTTAGATTGAAAGACTGCATCGGTTAAATACCTTCAATGTTTAGTTTGACAGACTAAATAAACTTTTTGCTGTATTGCCAAGTTTGAGAAGGAAGCCCAGGAGATGGGTAAGGGTTCCTTCAAGTACGCCTGGGTGTTGGACAAACTGAAGGCTGAGAGAGAACGTGGTATCACCATCGATATCGCTCTCTGGAAGTTCCAGACTCAGAAGTTCTACGTGACCATCATTGACGCCCCAGGTCACAGGGATTTCATCAAGAACATGATCACTGGCACCTCACAGGCTGATTGTGCTGTGTTGGTAGTTGCTGCCGGTACTGGTGAGTTTGAGGCTGGTATCTCCAAAGAAGGCCAGACTCGTGAGCACGCCCTGCTGGCTTACACCCTGGGTGTCAAGCAGATGATCATTGCCGTCAACAAGATGGACAGCACATCACCACCATACAGCGAGAGCCGATACACTGAAATTATGAAAGAAGTCTCCACCTACATCAAGAAGATTGGCTACAACCCCGCTTCTGTCCCATTCGTGCCCATCTCTGGTTGGGTTGGAGACAACATGCTGGAGGAATCTAGCAACATGCCCTGGTTCAAGAACTGGCTTATTGAGAGGAAAGAAGGTAACGCCTCTGGCAAGACTTTGATCGAAGCTCTAGATGCTATCCTGCCCCCTAGCCGCCCTACAGACAAGCCCCTGCGTCTGCCCCTGCAGGATGTCTACAAGATCGGTGGTATCGGAACTGTGCCCGTCGGCCGAGTGGAGACTGGAGTCCTGAAGCCAGGCATGCTGGTGACCTTTGCTCCTGCCAACGTCACCACTGAGGTTAAATCAGTTGAGATGCATCATGAGGCTCTCCCTGAAGCTGGCCCAGGTGACAACGTAGGATTCAACGTCAAGAACGTTTCTGTCAAGGACATCCGTCGAGGCAACGTGGCTGGTGACAGCAAGAACGATCCACCCAAGGCCACCAAGTCTTTCTATGCTCAGGTGATCATCCTGAACCACCCTGGTGAGATCAAGAATGGCTACGCACCAGTGCTGGATTGTCACACTGCTCACATTGCCTGCAAGTTTGCTGAGATCAAGGAGAAATGTGATCGCCGTTCTGGCAAGAAGCTGGAAGACAACCCCAAGTTTGTCAAGTCTGGTGATGCCGCCATGGTTGAACTGGTTCCCAGCAAGCCCATGTGCGTGGAGGCTTTCCAGGAGTACCCCCCTCTGGGACGTTTCGCTGTGCGTGACATGAAACAGACTGTGGCTGTCGGTGTTATCAAGTCTGTCACCAAGGAGGATATCAGCGCAGGAAAAGTCACCAAAGCTGCCATCAAGAAGAAGTGAAAGTTAGAGAAATCCTCGTCGCTGGCATCAGGACTTGACCAGTACTTAGCTAAATCATGCGGTCAGACTCAAAACTGCCAACAGCCCAGATGTGAAGGGATCACGTCTGTACTTTCCCCCTATTTTAGTTTATTACCCATCAAGAAACTGACTCAGCTAATTTTAATTTCATGGTCTCGGTGGCTATTGCAGTCCAAATTGCACAGAAAAGAAGTCAGGAGAAAAAAACCTTCAATGTTAAATTAACTAGTCACTGTATTGTGTAAGAGCTTTGCAAATTACTTTTGACTGCATTTGTAAGAGCATTTTTAAGTGTAAATTAAAATTTCCTTGGACTAAGTCACACAAAAAAAAAAAAACAAAAAAAAAAAAAAAAAAAAAAAAAAATTTTGTTATTTGTAGCCCCACTCTGGCTTTTGCCAGGGGCCGCAATATAGGCAGGTCATAATTATGGCCAAGTGTCTCAACGCGGTTTCTGGGACCTCTCCACGGTGATCCTCATCCGCATGATGGCACTTTGTGTCATCGGGTGTTTATCGCTTGTGTGATGTCCTGGTGGGGTAAAAAGCCAATCCAATCCAATTAGTTTGACAGACTGCATCAATTAATTACCTCCCATATTTAGTTCGTCAGACGGCATAAATTACCTCCCACGTTTAATTTGAGAGACAGCATAAATTACCTCTCATGTTTAGTTTGACAGACAGCATCAATTAATTACCTCCCATGCTTGGTTTGACATACACCATAAATTAGATTCCATGTTTAGTTTGACAGAATGCATCAATTAATTACCTCGTATTTTTAGTTTTACAAACAGCATAAATTACCTCCCATTTTTAGTTTGACAGGCTGCATATAATACCTCCCATGTTTAGTTTGACAGACAGCATAAATTAACTCCTATATTCAGTGTGACAGACTGCATATATTACCTCTCATGTTTAGTTTGACAGACCGTATAAATTACCTCCCATGTTTAGTTTTACAGGCTGCATATACAACCTCCAATGTTAAGAATGACAGACAGCATAAATTACCTCCCATGATTATTTTGACAGACTGCATATATGATCTTCCATGTTTAGTGTGACAGACAGCATACATTACCTCCCATGTTTGGTTGACATACTGCATCAATTAATTAATTACCTCTTATGGTTAGTGTGACAGACAGCATCAATTAATTACCTCCCGTGTTTGGTTTGACATACACCATCAATTAGATTCCATGTTTTGTTTGACAGACCATTAATTAATTACCTCATATTTTTAGTTTGATAGACAAAGTGATCACCTTCCATGTTTAGTTTGACATACTTTGGTACATATCCTTACGTCCTTTATAGGACGTAATTTTTTGTTATTTGAAGCCCCCCCCCCCCCCCCCCCCCCTGGCTTTTGCCAGGGGCCGCAATATAGGCAAGCCATAAATATGGCCAATTGTCTGAACGCGGTTTCTGGGACCTCTCCACGGTGATCCTTATCCACATGGTGGCACTTTGTGTCATCGGGTGTTTATCGCTTGTGTGATGTCCTGGTGGGGTAGAAAAGTCAGTCAGTCAGTTGACAGGCTGCATATTAAACCATTCCATGTTCAGTTTGACAGAAAGCATCAATTAATTACGTTCCATGTTTCAATTGATTGAACGGTTTGTCCGCTCTGGACGGTTACCTGTATATTTACCCCGTGAAATACAAACGCATATTATGGATGGCAGATCAACATTTTAGATCCCAGATACCCGGTCAACCTGCCCAAAAAAAAAAAGTTATAATTACTGCATGTATAGCATCAGTCCGGTGTAGCCTAGTCTTGTACGAGGAAGGTTCGATCCATCGGTTTGTCCCCTCCGGGCTGTTTCTTTAATGTTTATTACCCTGAGATTAAATAAAATTCTACATCTAAGATACCCCGTTGAACCTTCAAATAGGTTATAATAAAGTTTCTCGTAACGGCTATACAGCCTGGTGACCTGCCGTCCTATGCGGACAAAGTAGGTTACTTTGTAACAGTTTTGTGATGCTCCAGTATTGATTCTATTGTGTAGGAAAGTTGATGCTATTATATGCACCAATATAACTGTGCCATAAGGTGAACGGGTTTTCAGGATTTGTGCCTGTTTGTCCCCCTTCCCTCCTAACCCAAGTGAGATGTTAATCCCACAGACTGCTAATCCTGGAAAGGAAAAAACAAAAACCGATCGATCGATAGGCGATGTTTCTTTCGCGTACATCTAGTTCTAATCGTTGTGCTTCTACAATAAACATGCTTCCTGTGTATTCAAGATTTGATGCTTATTTCCAGATCCTGCAGGACTTTCCACAAACAGCGACTGGGAAAGTTGACAGAAAGATCCTACAGAAAATGGCAGAGGAAAAGTTTGGAGTTCACTGATGGAAAAAAAAAAAAAAATTCAAGCCTTCATGTTGAGATCACCTTAGCATGCAAACTTGATCTACGGTGTACCGACGTGAAGAAACCATCTTAGTTAAATAAACTTGTTCCATTTCACATGGTTTATTTTACAGAGCATTTCGAATTCTGTATACTTCAACCAATTGCAGAATGCTTTGCTATTTTGAAGCTATAACAATAAACCACTTTCGACCATATTTATGCAGACTGAAGGACATAGTTGTGAATCTCTGTGTGCCCTAGTAAAACTGTTACTTTCTTTTTATGTATTTTTTTTTAAGGGTTCATTTTTTTGCTACATTTTCAATAACTCTCAAAGTCCCCTAACATCTCACAGGACAGGGCTATTCAACTAATTTTAATTATGAGCCAAAATGGTGAAAATTGGCATTGTCATGGGCTAGAGTAGGGCTATTCAATCAGGTTCGTTCAGGGGCCAAAATGTTAAAAAACAGGGATTGTCACGGGCTAGAGGTTTTAGCCCCAGCATAGAAAAATCGAAAATACAGTACAGCAAGAAGTGTTCCGCGGGCCGCTTGCTAGGCCATGGCGGGCCAGATTTGGTCCTGGGCCGCCAGCTGAATAGTCCTGGGCTAGAGGCTTGAGCCCTGGCATAGAAAGATCACTAATACAATACAGATGGCAATGACCCGTGTGACCTTGTTAGGGCTCTGCGGGCCAAATTCGGCCCGCCGGTTAAAAAGCTGTCACAGGAGATGCTTAACGAGTAATTGGCCACAAGAAAAAAAAAAATATGCAGGGGAGCAGCATATCACTCAGAATATAAAACAAACTATGCTGAAGTTGAAAAAAGCGTGCTAAATGTTAATTATAAGTCAGATGACATCATGCATTGTTTGAGACATAGGGGCAGTAGCTGACCACACACGATGTGCTGGTTGGGTCAGAAAGAATTAACTGTTAATGTAGTGTACACCAGAGGAGATGTAGAAAAATATATGCCAAGCAACGAACTGTGGAATCTATTGTTTTCTTCGCTTGGACATTTGTTTATCGCCACCATAAATGTGTATGTGTGTGTATATATGTGTGGGCGTGTGTGTGTATATATATATATATATATATATATATATATATATATATATATATATATATATATATATATATATATATATATATATATATATATATATAAGTAGGGGGTAAGTGGTTTCGGGGGTACGGTGTCTGCTTTGGGTGCTGGAGGTCCAGGGTTCAGTCCCGATGAAGGCTAGGTTTTTTTTTCACGTGGACTTCTTGTAGTTTCCTATGGTCTCTGGGTATAAGATCGGCGCCCGTGTGTATTCCTGCGCACATAAAAAAAATGTCCTTTAAAAAAATTTCCTTTAGCAGTTGGAAACCGAAAAGAGTAGCCTATCGGGGTTTCCCAGGCACAAATTTGTAGTTAAAAATCCACCCAAAGTATTTCAGGATCCTCACTGATGCAACGGAGTTCGTGCACTGCGCTGAGAATTTTCAGACGCAGGCTTGAGTTAGAAGTAGAACGGACACTTATGGGTTATACCCCTGTGCCATGATGTTGATCCATTGAATAAACATATATATTTGTCATCTTGCTAGGGCTAATTCTACATTTTAAGCTAGCCAAACAATGTTGTCTTACATTACACTAATTCTCAACCGTTCACTGTGCACACCTGCTATCTGGCTGGTACAGGTGTGTGTGTGTATATATATATATATATATATATAGAGAGAGAGAGAGAGCCAAATATTTGTACATAAGTATATAAGTACAATCAGTGGCTAGAGATGGCACTCACACACATGGTTACAAAGATAGTAAGATACTGTATTGGTACAATCAGTGGCTAGAGATGGCACTCACACACATGGTTACAAAGATAGTAAGATACTGTATTAGTACAATCAGTGGCTAGAGATGGCACTCACACACATGGTTACAAAGATAGTAAGATACTGTATTAGTATAATCAGTGGCTAGAGATGGCACTCACACACATGGTTACAAAGATAGTAAGATACTGTATTAGTACAATCAGTGGCTAGAGATGGCACTCACACACATGGTTACAAAGATAGTAAGATACTGTATTAGTATAATCAGTGGCTAGAGATGGCACTCACACACCATGGTTACAAAGATAGTTAGATACTGTATTGGTACAATCAGTGGCTAGAGATGGCACTCATACACATGGTTACAAAGATAGTAAGATACTGTATTAGTACAATCAGTGGCTAGAGATGGCACTCACACACATTGTTAGAAAGATAGTAAGATACTGTATTAGTATAATCAGTGGCTAGAGATGGCACTCACACACATGGTTACAAAGATAGTAAGATACTGTATTAGTACAATCAGTGGCTAGAGATGGCACTCACACACATGGTTACAAAGTTAGTAAGATACTCTATTAGTACAATCAGTGGCTAGAGATGGCACTCACACACATGGTTACAAAGATAGTAAGATACTGTATTAGTACAATCAGTGGCTAGAGATGGCACTCACACACATGGTTACAAAGATAGTAAGATACTGTATTAGTATAATCAGTGGCTAGAGATGGCACTCACACACATGGTTACAAAGATAGTTAGATACTGTATTGGTACAATCAGTGGCTAGAGATGGCACTCATACACATGGTTACAAAGATAGTAAGATACTGTATTAGTACAATCAGTGGCTAGAGATGGCACTCACACACATTGTTAGAAAGATAGTAAGATACTGTATTAGTATAATCAGTGGCTAGAGATGGCACTCACACACATGGTTACAAAGATAGTAAGATACTGTATTAGTACAATCAGTGGCTAGAGATGGCACTCACACACATGGTTACAAAGTTAGTAAGATACTGTATTAGTATAATCAGTGGCTAGAGATGGCACTCACACACATGGTTACAAAGATAGTAAGATACTGAATTGGTACAATCAGTGGCTAGAGATGGCACTCACACACATTGTTACAAAGATAGTAAGATACTGTATTAGTACAATCAGTGGCTAGAGATGGCACTCACACACATGGTTACAAAGATAGTAAGATACTGTATAAGTATAATCAGTGGCTAGAGATGGCACTCACACACATGGTTACAAAGATAATAAGATACTGTATTAGTATAATCAGTGGCTAGAGATGGCACTCACACACATGGTTACAAAGATAGTAAGATACTGTATTGGTACAATCGGTGGCTAGAGATAGCACTCACACACATGGTTACAAAGATAGTAAGATGCTGTATTAGTACAATCAGTGGCTAGAGATGGCACTCACACACATGGTTACAAAGTTAGTAAGATACTCTATTAGTATAATCAGTGGCTAGAGATGGCACTCATACACATGGTTACAAAGATAGTAAGATACTGTATTAGTACAATCAGTGGCTAGAGATGGCACTCACACACATGGTTGCAAAGATAGTAAGATACTGTATTAGTACAATCAGTGGCTAGAGATGGCACTCATACACATGGTTACAAAGATAGAGTAAGATACTGTACTGGCACAATCAGTGGCTAGAGATGGCACTCACACACATGGTTACAAAGATAGTAAGATACTGTATTAGTACAATCAGTGGCTAGAGATGGCACTCACACAGACGGTTAGTGTGTTACATGAGGGGACATACTTTGTAGCATATGATGAGACAAGAATTTGTAGTGCAACAACAAATGGCTCTCACACACATGGTTAGAGTGTCACATGATGGGACAAATTTTGTAGCTCTACGAAAAATGGCTCTACTACATACATGGAAAGAGTGTCACATGATGGGACAGACTTTGTAGCTCTACAACAAAATGGCTCTCCAACACACACGGTTAGAGTGTTACATGATGGGACATACTTTGTAGCATTGAGACAAGAATTTGTAGTGCAACAACAAATGGCTCTCACACACACACGGAAAGAGTGTCACATGATGGGACATACTTTGTAGCATATGATGAAACAAGAATTTGTAGTGCAACAACAAATGGCTCTCACACACATGGTTACAGTGTCACATGATTGGAAAGACCTTGTAGCTCAACAACAAATGGCACTCCCACACATGATCAGTGCCACAAGATGGGACAGACTTTGTTGACAGAATTTGTAGCTCCAAAATAATGGCTCTTAAACAAATGGTTAGGAGGTCAGTCATATAATCTGATACTCACACATAAAGAGTCATACCCTGCAGAACAGTACATTCATGGCGAACAACTGTAAAGACAAGACCAGTATAGAAACTAAAATCAAGAAATGAAGCAGAGAGCAGTTTTAGAACTAGAAAACAAATTACGCTTAAGTCAGCATTCGTTAATTGCAGTCAAAGAATAACTAAACAGTAAATGATAACAGGTCAGAAAAACAACAAATGGTTTTTTAATTTTATTTTTATTAATGAATTCTTAACAAACTTTTACCAAAATAATACTCGTTCTGAGCTGTTTTGAAAAAAAGAAAGAACAAAAAAACTTCAAACAATTTGTTTCAGTTGTGGCCATAAAGGACCAAATTGAACATGTCAATGAGAACTGTCAAAACCAATGATCTTATTTACAAGATAATAATAATGCATGAATGACATCTGAAGCATGTACTTTCCAGATGGATTATCTCAACAAGTCCAACCATTAAACAAACAGACATAGGAAGTCAAGCAATAAAAGCACAACTTCTTTATGAGAAACAAGAAACAAAAGCAAAAGAAACTATGAAGCTAACACGCCCATTGTCTTCATGGGGCAATTTTATCAGAAAACCAACAGCAAACAATGCAAATGAAAATACTTGTGCAAATAAGACAAGATAGGCTACAACACAGACAGACAGACATATTCTATTCTGCTGCAGCTGTCCAGACAATGCTGTCTCACTAGGATAATTATATGTTCACAGCTGTTTAAACATAAATGTCTTACTAATTCTACACTTACAGCTGCTCAAATATTATTGTCTTGCTAGGGCTAATTCTACA